TAATTCGCCATTTTGTTTATTCTTCGTGTCTTTAATATTACAGTACAGCACCAAGTTTAAGTTTATGAACAATTTTAATTTGTGAGACTTCTGAATTTTGGGCTTAAATTGAATGACACGGTGACTAAGAAAACAGACGGTAATAAGTCAAATGTCCTCAAATAAATGCCAAAATGTTGTCCTGATTCCATTGTAGAAAAATTCAATCGTTGAAACTTGAAAGTGTGTTTAAAGAAGCAATCTATTTCTCCAACCACGCACCTATAGTCGCCTTTTTGTCACAAGTAAGCTCATGTTGTTTTGACTTTTTAAGTCTACCCTGTATATTTATCCACTCTTTTGGATCCACTAATATTCGGTTGCTTTTGTCGAAGAAAGATGAGGCTATATCAGTTGATGGTCTTTTCTTAGCACGCTTTTGACGAAGAGGTAACTGCTTTTCACCCAATATATCCAGGGGTAAAGAGTACGATTTCGAGAATATGATGATTTAAATTTATACGCTGATGGGACAATAGTTTTGCCCATTTTGAAAAGCTGCTTTTTGTGGGTGCTAATCATAGCCACGGCGTAAAAATTCCACTTTGAATGCATCACCAAAAGCATATACAGTAGAATAATCTCGTCTTACCCAATGAATGCTTCCAACAATAAATATGCTTGTTGGTCTCTGTACAATAGCGATCTACAATTTTATTTCAATTTCGTTTCAACGAATTCATGTCTACAACGAAGTTTTTTCTAGCTCCAAAGCTCCGTTGTAACGAGATTATACTATATTTATACTTTTAAGGAAAAACTCTCAGACCTAGGAAACGAAATCAAACAAACGTTCACCAAATGTATCCCATTTTTGTCCAGCTGAATATCATGACAACTGAAAAAATTATTCCGGGAGGAAAATAGCTGGATCTTCACTAGCTCTAAGGAATCATTGAAATTTTTCAGTAACAGCGCCGAACAAAGGCCTCAGGGGAACAAAGGTAAATATTCCGTATTAGTCATCCGATTACCCACGAAGGTTGCTCGAACTGCGAGTACTAGCTTGCGCAAAAATGGCTTTCTGAGGTACACTCGCGAAAAATGACTCATTGCGCGAGAGATTCTGCGCAGAAATCAAGGTGATTCATACTTCAGTCCACGTGCAGAGTTGAAATTCGCTGATGTACGTGATATTTCCAGCAAAATTTCATAAATTGCTTGCAGACTAAACATTTTGCTTGAAAGAGTTTATGGCAGATATTTGAAAAGTTTCTGTTTTTTCGTTAAAAAAAAAATTAAGCACCAAAGAAGCAGCTATATACACAGTATAGGGAAATGTCTTCCAAAAATTAGCTTGAAAAAAGGTTTCTCAGGATGAAAAAATTGAAATAAATTATTTCAGCACGCAAACAGTCTGAAGCGTTAGTTTGGTAGAAAAGCCAATTTTTATTTATTTTTCATCAGAGAATTTCAACTCTGAGATTTTCTTTGCAAAATTTTGGATGAAGATAGCATACTTCATTGCTAATTTTGATTAATTCATGATGTTGCAGAAAATTTCTCTCAGACTGGCAAAAATCTTCCGCGGACCGGCACGGATCTGCAGACCATGGGTTGCGGAACCCTGGTTTAAAACATTTCGCCAAATAGATGAATTTGAAAAAAATATTTAGGAAGAAACAAACATTCCTATAGTTCTGCCATCCAGATACGGTAACATCTAGTTACAATGAATTCCCGAAGATGAAAATTTTTCCATAAAAAAATTAACATCAGAATTCATGGA